ATTGTAGAAAGTTCTATTAGACAGGGCAGCTATAGGAAAAATTGGGTTATATTACCATCTTAACAATATTGAGTCTTCCAATCAGTAGACATAGCATATCTCTCCCTTTTTTTGGTCTTCTTTAATTTTTCTTGACAGTGTTGTAGTTTTCAGTATACAAATATTACAAAACATCTTTTGTTAAATTTTTTCCAGAGTATTTTTATGCTATTTTGAGTAGAAGGTTTTTTTAATTCATTTTTTGATATTTCTTTGTAGCATATAGAAATAAAATTGATTTTTGTGTGTTGATCTTGTATCCTATGACATTGTTTAAACTGTTTTTTAGTTCGCTAGCTTTTTCCTACATAGGATTTTCTGTATATTAGATAATGTCTCTGAATAAAGACATTAACTTTTTCTTTCTGCAATCTGCATGACTTTATTCTCTTTTCCTTGGCTTATTGCACTGGCTAGGATCTTCAGTATAATGTTGAATAGAAATGGTAAGAGTAGACATTCTTGCTTTGTTTTTCTCTTAGGGGGAAACCATGTAATCTTTCTATTCAGAGAGATAGTATCCATAGGGTTTCCATAGGTGCCCTTTATAAAGTTCAGGACCTTCCCTTCTATTCCTAATTTGTTGTAAATTTTTATCAAGAATGAAAGTTGGATTTTGTCATATGCTTTTCCTGCATCTACTGAGATAATCATATGGTTTTCTCCTTTATTTTATTAATATGGTATATTACATTAATTTATTTTCAAAACTTAAACCACACTTGCTTTTCCAGGATAAATTCCACTTGGTCTCAGAAGTTAAACCAAACTTAACATTCCTGAGATAAACTCCACTTGGTCATTATCCTATTTATAAGTTGCTGGATTTGATTTGCCAAAGAATTTTATTAAGGATTTTGAGACTACATTTATTAAGAATATTTGTTTGTAGTTTATTTGTGTGTGTGTGTGTGTGTGTGTGTGTGTGTGTGTGTGTGTTCGTTTGTTTGTTTTTACATTGTCTTGGTCTAGATTTCATCAGGGTAAAATTGGGTTAGTAAGTTTTCTCACCTTGTCTATGTTCTGAAAGTTTGTAGAATAGATACTGTACCTTTTTAAAATGACTGACTGAGGTGACCAATGAAGCCATCTTTGAGCCTGAACTTTTCTTTGCGGGGAGATTTTAAATTATTAATCAAATTGTTTGTTTGATATAGGTCTATTTAGATCTCATTTCTTCTCGGATCACTTTTGGTAATTCATCTCTTTTTAAGAATATATTCATTTCAACTATGTTGTCAAATTTGTTGGCTTAAAGTTGTTCATAATATTGAGTTATTATCCTTTTAATTTCATTAGAGTCTGTAGTAATATTTCTTCTTTCATTTCTGACTTTTGCAATTTGTGTCTTCTCTAATTTTTTTCTTGATTTGTCTAGCTAATGGTGTATCAGTGGTTGCATTTTTCAAAGAAATAGCATTGGTTTCATTGATACTTGTTTTTTTATTGATACTTGTTTTCCGTTTCATTTATTTTTTGCTCTGCTTTTTATTATTTCTTTCTTAATATTTATTTTGTGTTTGATTTGCTCTTGTTTTCGTAACTCCTAAAAATAGTAACTTCGGTTATTGATTTTAAATGTTTAATCCTTTATAAAATAAGCATTTGAAGAAATTGATTTTCTCCAAACCACTGCTTTAGCTTTATTCCATAAATTTTATATGTTTTGATTTTATTTTCATTCATTC